ACCATGTTGACCAGGATGGTCTCGATCTCTTGACCTCGTGATCCACCCGCCTCGGCCTCCCAAAGTGCTGGGATTACAGGCTTGAGCCACCGCGCCCGGCCTCTATTTTCTCTTTTTAAGGGAGTAACTACTTTAGATATTTCATGTAAGTATATTCCTACAGTTTTTTAGTGCATGTGACCGGCTTATTAAATTTAACATAATGTCTTCAAAATTTGTCTTTATGGTAGATAATAGAAAATTTCCTGCTTTATAAAAGCTGAGTAATATTTCGTAGTCTTTATATTTCAAATTATATTTATTCATTTATTTGGTACAAGGAGTTTATTGCTTTCACCTATTGACTTTTGTGGATAATGCATCAATAAATTGTGTGTAAGCAACTCATTTGACCATTTGTGCAAGAGTTTTTAATCTGTGCTTCATTCTATTTCATGCCTTTGGTGTTCTGCCTTTATACCAGTACTAACATGCTTTGTTTATTGTAGCTTTGTTTTGTATCTGGAAATTATTAAGCATAATGCCTCTGATATTTTTCTTTTTTTTTTTTTTTAAAGATTGTCAAGCTTTTCATGGTCCCTTGAAATTTCATATAATTTTGTGGGGTTGTTTTTCTATTTTCAGAAAAATAAAATTGGGAATTAAAAAGGGTTATGTTGAATGTGTGGGTCACTTTGGGCAATATGGAAATCTTCACAATATCATGTCTTCCAACACTTGAACAAGAGCATACTCAAGAATGTGTTTTTTAATTTTCATAGTTTTTAAAAATTTTCAAATTTTTTAGTTTTCCTTCTGTTCCTGATTTCTAGTTTCATTCCATTTAGGTTATAAAAATAGTCTAAAATTTTAATTTTAAATATTTGTTGAGACTTGTTTTGTGGTGTCACAGATGGTCTATCTAGAAAATATTTCATGAGCTACTAAAAAGTATGTGTATTCTGCTCTCTGAATACATTTGTTAAATGTAATTGCTTTATAGTGCATTCAAGATTTTGTTCCCTTATTAATATTTTTCTTGCTTAATTATTCATTATTGAAAGTGGATTATTGAAGTATCCTACCATTATTATATTGGTGCCTATTTGTTGCTCCATTTCTGTCAATGTTAGCTTTATGTGTCTGGGAAAACTAGTGTCAGATATATTTATAGGTTCTCAATGAATGAACCGCCCTATAATTTAATATCCTCCTTTGTCTCTTGTGAATTTTGACATAAATTATATGGAAATGACAGTTTTTTATTTAATATAATCGTTGTATCCCATCTCATTTGGTTAACACTTAGATGGAATGTTTTTTCTATCCTGCCATTTTCAGTCCATTTTTTAAGTTGGATCTGAAGTGAGTCTCTTGGAGACATGATATAGTTAGATCGTGTTTTTTTAAAAAAATTTTTTTTTAAATCCTTTTATTTAGTATATGTGTTTTGATTAGTAAGCTTAGTACATGAATATTTAAATTCTTTTCTGAAAAAACTTACCATTCTGTTGTTTAATTTGGCAGTTTTAGATATTTTGTCTTTCTTTCTTTGTGTAATAACTAGTTGATAGTGGCATGCCTGGGCTCCAACTTAACTTTTTGTTTGTCTTCATAGGTATTTTATATGTGGTAAAGGTAGGGGTTACAGAAAATATCTTAAAGTTACCATTGATTTTAAACTGGTAACAACTTACCCTCTGTTGCACACAAAAATTTATAGTCATTACATCTGCTTTCAACATTGTTATCAATGCCACTAATAATATACTGTATTGCATATACATTAACAAATTTTTGAAAATATTTTTATTCTTTTATCTTTCTAATTTTTCTTCTGTTTAACAAATCAAGGACTACCTGAAACATATCTTTTAAATATTAGAGTATAATTCAAAGTGTTTTTTGAACCTTGATAATACTACTAAACATTTTTATAGTTGTGTATATACATATATTTTCCAGAGAGTTATGTATTTTTTTTTTTTTTTTTTTTTTGAGACGGAGTTTCGCTCTTGTTACCCAGGCTGGAGTGCAATGGCGCGATCTCGGCTCACCGCAACCTCCGCCTCCTGGGTTCAGGCAATTCTCCTGCCTCAGCCTCCTGTGTAGCTGGGATTACAGACACGTGCCACCATGCCCAGCTAAGTTTTTGTATTTTTAGTAGAGACGGGGTTTCACCATGTTGACCAGGATGGTCTCGATCTGTTGACCTCGTGATCCACCCGCCTTGGCCTCCCAAAGTGCTGGGATTACAGGCTTGAGCCACCGCGCCCGGCCCGAGTTATGTATTTTTACATGATTTGATATTCTTTAGTGTATCTTATTTTCAATGGGAGAGACTTCCTTACACATTTCTTGTAGATTAGTTCTGTTGACATACTTATCTACAATTTGATTATCTTGGAGAGTCTGTTTTTCTTCATTTTAAAGAATACTTTTGCTGAACATAGTATTCTTGTTTGAAATTTTAGTTTGTATATTATATTATCCAGCTTTGTTCTTACCTGAAAAATTTGTTTATACCTCTGCTGGTAATCTTGCAAGAGCATGATATAAATGACACCTTTCTCTTCTCTTCCTGCATTCTATATTCTCTTCTTGTCTTTGACTTTCAATACTATGTTATATTGTGTCTTTTTAGGGATCTCTGTGTTAATCTTAGTTGCAATTTGCTGAGCTTCTTGCTTTTGTTTTATATATATATATATATATATATATATATATATATATAT